TGGTGTCCAGAACCCTCCCTCTTCCTTGCTCTTGGATTGCCTTCTGCAAAAATGTCTCGCTTTCACCTGCATATAGTTGCTTCATCCTATTAATTCTAAAGCATATAATTTTGCTCGTGGCATTGTATAAATTGTTTAAATTTCAATCATGACTTCTAACAAGTAAGATGTTGTACCATGTGACATGTTGATATGAGATACCGAATTCACCTAAATTATATACTCAGTGTATTTACAAATATCTAAAGACTAATGATATATGTATGTACTATAACTAACTATTCGTTAGTTATATCTTTCTTCCCAATGTTGAGAGAGGTTCCAAATTCAAATTTTGTGACAAATTTTTTAGTTTTATACTCATACGGTTACGTATTGTTAATTACTAATTCACGTGTTATAATATGAGTGAATGACATAGTTGATATGTCATGAACTTATATTAGAGTATTAATAAATAAATACATATGTTATAATATGGATCAATTTGTAATATTAAGTGACAGTGTGATAGTTTCCTCATGTACTAATGTTTTTTTTTAAACAAAACAAACTCTGACTATTCTACATGAATACGTGTGTGATAATTTAAGTTGAATTTGATAAACTTTATCAACATGTCACGTGATGTGAGATACGCCCGGCTAATAACCTTTTTTCATTTGATTTAGTGAACAAATTTGATGAATAAATTTGATCAGCCAACCTTTGTTGAATGGTAAACTCTACTTTCTAACGGGCAAGACCAAGCTAAGGAAATATTGTAAATTCAAATGTTTGACAAAATATGGTATTGGAACTGTTATCTTACCGGTGGAGATAAGAAGGTCAACGGTTTTCTCATCAGGGTTGTCTCCGGTGACGGTGAAGTACCTACGCTGAACAGTCTCTCTATACTCAGACGATATCTTCTGCCTCAAGTCATTAAAGCTATCCATAGAATCCTTGAGCTTCTTCCTCAGCCCGTTGACCACAGACGTCCTTGTCCGGTCCGACGATGATCCGGGGCCGCAGCCAGGCA